GGCCCCAATACCGATCCTTGTGGGACTCCACCAATGCTCCCTCTACGCTGTGGAGTCTTGTGAGCAAAAATTCTACTTTCTGAGCTATTGGCATTAAAGTTGTGAGCCAGTGATTTGGCTACTGCCTAAATCAGTTTGCTCTGGAGCCCTCCTTCCTGAGCTAAGACAAAAATCTGTGAGCCGTAGGCTAAAAAACTGTGAGCTAGCTCACACTAACTCAGCTTAGAGGGAACACTGGACTCCACTGCTTACTTCCCTCCATTGTGAGAACTGTCCATTGATTCTTAATCTTTGCTTCCTGACATTTAGCCAGTTTTTAATCCGTAAGAGAACTTGTCCTCTTATCCCATGATTGCTAAGTTTACTCAGGAGTCTTTTGTTGGGCCAATCACACACTCTCAGCCTAACCTACCTCACAGGGTTGCTGTGAGGATAAAATGGAGGAGAGCAATGTAATCTGCTTTGTGTCCCCATTGGGCAGAAAAGAGGGTTATAAATGAAGTAAATACATACTTTTGAGTCACTAGGGCGGTGTGGAATGAAGATTTCCTTCTCACTATAAGTGTGCAAAGTCTCTAAGTGAGGTAAATGAATTGGAAGACTTGAGAAGAAGAAGAAGAGATTGGATTTATACCCCGCCCTTCACTACCCAAAGGTGTCTCAGAGCGGCTTACAAACTCCTTTCCCTTCCCCTCCCCACAACAGACGCCCTGTGAGGTAGGTGGGGCTGAGAGAACTCTTGACAGAAACTGCTCCTTTTCAAGGACAGCTCTTATCAGAACTATGGCTTGCCCAAGGTCATCCAGCCAGGTGCAAGTGGAGGAGTGGGGAATCAAACCCGGTTCTCCCAGATTAGAGTCCGCGCACTTAACCACTTAGCCACTACACCAGACTGCGACTCTGTTCATATTTACTTGGAAGTCTTCCTGACTAGGAAAGAAATTCCCAATGGACTCATTGGGCTTATTTTTTTTAGAAGAATGCTTGGAACTGGGCCATAGTTTCAGAAAGTAATGGCTTCAATTACTGGGTGGAATAGCATTTCTTTGAGACAGAAAGTAAAATTTTCATGCTGTTTTGACTGGTAGAGCCATAAATATTCATAATTTTGCGAACTGGGCAGATAGATCTTGAGTAACCCGAGGGCAGAAAACTGGAGTATGAGATTACCCAGGTGGGTTCTTTGAATGATCCTGATGAGAGACAGAATAGCATTTCCTGGATCCTAGAGCCTGTAATTAATTGCCTGGATCCTGTAGGAAGCTGATAACAATAAATACACGACTTGGAGTGTGGCATTGATAATTCATGACCTCAGAAGCCACATATACTCTCCCTGCCCGCCCCCGGCCAAAGTTGTTACAACTCAGGGATGTTTGACAGGAAGTCATGGATTCAATTTTAAGACGTTGGTCCAGTGTAGACATTACAGCAGCTGACTACAGTTTAGCAATAGGGATCACCCCCTTATTGGGATACATGAACATGCATGAAGCTGCCTGATCCTGAATCAGATCATTGGTCTATCACAGTTGACATTGTCTACTCAACCGTCAGTGGCTCTCCATGATCTTAGGGGGAGGTCTTTCACATCACCTGCTACCCAGTCCTTTAACTGGAGGTGCCAGTGATTGACCCTGGTACCTTCTGCATGCCAAGCAGATGCACTACCACTGAGCCATGGCCCCCTTCCCAAACTTTGACTAGATTGTAACAGAAAAGACAGGAGGGAGTCTGTACACAGGAGGACCATGGTTTGATGCTCCACTTTCACTGACAACAGAATCAAACTCAGATGTCGTTATAAACACTGTTTCTTAAAAATGCAAGCCCAAATCATTGATCTGTTTTTTTAAAAAAAGTCACCCTAATACATTTGGAATGGGGTGTGTCTAATACGCGGCTGTGTTTTTTGTAATACTTAGCCTGTTCGGAAACATAAGAACATAAGAGATGCCCATGTTGGATCAGGCCAAAGGCCCATCTAGTCCAACACTCTGTCACACAGTGGCCAAAAATACCAGGTGCCATCAGGAGGTCCACCAGTGGGGCCAGGAAAGTGGACTTCCCATGTGCAAAAGCAAGGAAAGCCAGTACTGGCGTATGGAGAGGCCAGGAGTGGGTCCATACTGATAATGGGATTTTTCAGGGAAATCCTTTTGTTCTAAATAAAGCCCCCAACAGGAAACTTTGTTGTGTTGCGCGTGTACAGGCGGAGGATTCTTGAGAATAAGTGGTGGCAGATGAAGGCAGTGTGTCAGTGGAAAGAGAAGGGATTTGGTAGTGGTGGGAAGGGCCACCAAGTAGCAGCCAACTTATGGCAACCCCGTAGAGTGGTAGCCATTGCCTGCCTCTGCATCACAACCCAGGTATTCCTTGCTGGCCTCCCATTCAAGTACTGACCAGGGCTGACCCTGCTTAGCTTCTGGGATCTGATGAGATCCGGCTAGCCTTGGCCATCCAGGGCAGGGCTCAAAAGGAGTCAAAATGTGTTGCGTACTACTCGGCCAAGCCTCGGAATGGGTTCTTATGAGTTTGGTTGCCATTTGGTAATGTAACCTGAACACTTTGGAGACTGACGGGAAAACGTGGTGGTGGTGGGGGCAACAAACGGTCAGCACTTTTCCTTGAAGATGGAGTGCCCTGGATCTTCGTTTATGAGCATAAATGAAGTTGCTGGAATGTGGGCTGGTAACAAGACATCGTGTACAGAAAGAATAATTATGTCCCTCAAGTTTGGGCAAATTATGCGGCTGTTTGGTTTGTCTGGTGTATACTTGTGGGTTTGGTTTTTTTTTTTGGGGGGGGGGGGGGGGGATGCACCTAACCCTTTATGAGTGACGTAGACCCTGTGTGAAAGGCTGTCCCTGGAAGCAGAAACAGACCTCTGAGAGTGTGGGGGAAACTAACCATGATAGACCCTAGGCTACAGACCATAGGGAAGAAGGAAATTGCCAGTTTGGCGTAGTGGTTAGGAGCGCAGACTCTAATCTGGGAGAACTGGGTTTGATTCCCCACTCCTCCACATGCAGCTGCTGGTGTGACCTTGGGCCAGTCACAAGTTCTCTCAGAGCTGTTCTCACACGAGCAGTCCTCAAAAGAGCTCTCTCAGCCCCACCTACCTCACAGGGTGTTTGTTGCGGAAGAGGGAGGAGATTGTAAGCCGCTCTGAGACTCCTTTGGGTAGTGAAGGGTGGGGTATAAATCCAATCTCTTCTTCTCTTCTCTTCATATCGATGTATCACCAATAGCAGTAGGAAAGAGTAAGAGTCCAGTAGCACCTTAAAGTAACAAAATTTGTGGTAGGGTAGGAGCTTTCGTGAGTCACTGGCTCACTTCTTCAGTATCTGGTGTATCTGAAGAAGTGAGCCAGTGACTCACAAAAGCTGCTATCCTACCACAAATTTTGTTAGTCTTTAAGGTGCTACTGGACTCTTACTCTTGGTCTGCCTGTAGCAGTAGAAAAACACAGCTACCCATGTTGACCAATGGCAGATCTGCATGGGTGGGTGGGGGGAATATGGCAACGTTTTACATCCAAGGAGGGACTCAAAAGGGGGAGGAAAACAAAGACTGGCAGATAGTAAACTGTAGATAACGGAATAAATGGCTGGAAATTAAATAACCAGAAACTGAAGTTCTGCGTATGAATCAAATCTTGGGGGGGTGGGGTGTCTGTGACACCTGGCAGCGGTGCAAATGTTGCACAACAGAATTGGGGCCGGTGGGCTGTTTCTAAAACAGTCCAAGATTAAAGGAATACTTAAAATGGTTGTGGCTGTTTTTTGTGCTGTAAACTGAGGGGATTGCAGCTAAAATACGCACAGCGTAACTATTTTTACGAGGAGACAGGATTCCAAGAACAAGGAGGGGCTTTCCAAGATGTGTGTATGTATCTGCAGCTATTAAGAGTACAACAGGAGAAGCGATGTAAAAGAAAACGGGATTTTGGGGCGGACACAGAGACCCTTCTGAAAAAATAACGTATAAAGAGAATGCCTTTGGTAAGGTGGCGGTTCCAGGTAGACATATTGGACCATTACAAAATCCTTAAAACGTGGTCGATCACATGGACACGTGAAGCGGTCTTATACTGAATCAGTACAGAGAACAAGAAAAACTGTGAAAAAGTGACGCTTAATATATGTCTTTAAAGAATCATAGAAAAGTGAACAAAAATAATATACATAATCATAGAAAAATATATTGGCGGTGATCTCCGGAATGTCTTGCCGTTTCGAAGGAAGATCTTCTTCTGAACAAGGATGTAGGACAAAAAATGTCCCTCAGAGATTCATATCCTCTGGTGACGTCTCACAATTATCAAGGAAGATTTTCAATATTCGTAACAGCTGTAACGTGTAGTAGAACCTGCCATGGGCTAAGATGATTGTAAAGACATATATTAAGCGTCACTTTTTCAACAGTTTTTCTTGTTCTCCGTATTATCTCATTACTGTGCCAGACCATTGGTCCATCGAGGTCAGTATTGTTCACCCAGTCTGGTAGTGGGTATTCAGGGTCTCAGGCAAGGGTCTTTCATGTCGCCTACTACCGGATCCCTTTAACTGGAGGCCCTGGGGATTGAACCTGGGACCTTCTGCATGCCAAGCTGATGCTCTACCACTGAGCCACAGCCCTTCCCCTAAAGCCAACCATGAAATACCTTTTATTAAGACCCATCGAAATGGCACAAAACAATGGGCAAGCTTTCGAATTTTCCAGTACCCTTCATCAGGATGTTTCAAAAGAAAAGGAAGGGGGAGGAGAGCGATTCCAGGGCTTTTTGTCAGCATTCTCTTTTGGTAAGAATAATTAATCTGTTTTTTTCCTCTTGCAATATCTGCTACAAAGGAATTTTAAATACTTTCTTCAAAAGAGTAAGGGGTATTGAAAGTTCCAAAGTAGTATTTAAAAATCCAGGAGAAGTGTTTTTTAATAAAAAGAGAAGAGATTGGATTTATACCCCACCCTTCACTTGGAGTCTCAGAGCAGCTTACAATCATCTTTCCCTTCCCCTCCCCGCAACAGACACCCTGTGAGGTAGGTGAGAGAGCTCTTTTGAGGACTGCTCTTGAGAGATCAGCTCTGAGAGAACTTGTGACTGACCCAAGGTCACCCCAGCAGCTGCATGTGGAGGAGTGGGGAATCAAACCCGGTTCTCCCAGATTAGAGTCGGTGCTCTTAATCACTACAGCAAGCTGGTGAATTAACATGGTAACATAAGACAAACCATGAACGTTTTCTGTTGGTCTTCAGTTGTATCATCTATTTGGATTCTTATAGCCTACCGTTTCCTTTTGGTACAGTGTGTGTTACAGTCTTCTTCTCACTGTAATCTTTGAGTTCAACAACCTGAACAGCAGCACCTTGTTCTGACTCTGAGTCCCACGTACAAAGTGTTATAGTTATGCTGAACCTTGAATTTATACAACCCAGGATTTGAACCAACACTTCAATATCATTGGACCACTTTCATTCTTATCAGCAAGATGTGGCATGAAGTAACCTAATATCATGCTTACCAATTTTTCCCCTTAGGTTTTGCCTTGGGGGTGCAGCAGTTACATCCAGCGCTCATCCAGAGACCCTTTGGGTAAGTGGAGTTTTTGTTAACTCTCTGAATGGTTGGTTTGTAATAAATTGCTTTAAAAACACACACACACACACCCCAACTGTTAAATTGAGGCCGTAAGCAAAGATCCTGTAGTTATGGCAAGGTTTTCTGGTACTTTCTCGGTAAAGCTTGTCTGTGAGTTCTCAGTTCATTGTGGCTTAATCTGTGTTACACCAATAGCAAACTGCAATCATGACTCATAATCCCTTGCAGTGTTTGCACATGTGCACGCCCTGGAAATGCTCGGTGGAGCAATGTTTCTCTGTTTATTCTCTCACCTCTGCCCCTGTACAAAATGGCAGCTGCAGGGAAGGAAGGTTTGTATGGGACCCTCTTCAAGCTCACATGTTTGGGTTGAGATCTCTCCATTGGGGCGTTGGGCCCGTGTGGAACATGGCACAGCTATATTTATTATTATTATTTTATTCGCGTTATTTATAGTCTGACTTTCTCACAGGACCTCAAAGTGGATTACGTATAGTGAATTAGTTCAGTCAATGAAATGGGACATTCGGTAATTAGGAGTTTAGAAGTCTGGAACCACCAGAAAGAACTAAAGCGTGGCATAAGTATTCACATGACCCATGAAGCGGTACAAAAGTTACATCATAGGATCCTACTCACAGTAGAGGCTATGCACAGCAGGATAGACCAATCTCAGTCATTTACCCAAGTAAAGACTTTCGTACAGTGCAGCACTTATTACCGGCACTTAAAAGCCCTCTTGGATAGTTCAGTTTTTCATACTTTGGAGAAAGCCAGGAGAGTGGGAACTTTCCTGCCATCGTTCATTCATGCAAATAGGATTTGGGGAGTTTTTGTCTCTTATGGTCAGTATCTGGTGCCTCTTCCTCCTGTTTGAAGCATTGACGCAATTCTCCAGAACCTTTTTCTTTGAGCCACTGTTCTTCCAGAAGGTTCTCAGGCTCTGTGGAACTGGATGGGAACTGTGCCAGAGTGTCAGTGTGTAACTACCAAGGGCCTCTGCGAGCGCCTGGGCCCACAAACAACCCTTCTAAGAAACCTTGAGATGCTTCTGCACAGCCCTCATACATTTACATGTGGGCCTCTGTCGGAGATGTGGTGCGCCCTCTGCTTTGTTCCGCATGTAAGAAAATCCTGGCCCCTACCAGCAAGCTGCCGTTGGATTGCCAAGCCTAATATTCGATGAAAGAAACATTAGGTCAAAAATTGATTCTGGACAGATGTTAGACGGGGCTTGAGGGGTCCACAAAAGCAGACCATTGTCTTCTGCTTTCAATAGCGGAAACCATCCCCTCCCCAGTCCAAAAAGATCCCCTTTTTCTGCATCTAATAGGACCTGGCAGCTGCTCTGGAAAAGACAAGTGTTCTCTCCCCGAACAATAGGGACTGTCATACTACCTTCATTTAACTGTTTAATGATTGATGCAGTTCCTTCTTTTTTTCTTCTTCTTTTTTTAAAGTACCCTTTTTTTGGATGTGAACGTCGATCGGGTTGGGACAATGCGTGGGAGGCCTGCAGTCCCCACCCCCACCCCCCCACCCCTTTGCCAAGAAGAATTAATATTTAATCTTTTCTCCGGCCCTCCACGCACAAACCGGCCTTTCTTTTCCAGCCGTCCGGCTCTGGTTTACGCAGAGGCGTTTTGAGTTCAGGCTTCCAGAGATCTAACAAGGTGGTGTTGTCTAAACAGTGAGCCCCACCGGGGTGTTGTGCTTGTGTGCTGTTGAAAACGCATTGTTTT